TCCTCTCTCACCATCTTCCTCCCTCTCCCTCTTCCTCTCTCTCCCTCTTCCTCTCTCTCCCTCTTCCTCCCTCTCCCTCTTCCTCCCTCTCCTTCTTCCTCCCTCTTCCTCCTTCTCCCTCTTCCTCCCTCTCCTTCTTCCTCCTTCTCCCTCTCTATCTCCACCTCCACCTCCACTTCCTCCTAATCCCAGTCCCTCTCCTCTCCCTCTCCCCTTTCCCTCTTTCCCTTCTCCCACCTCTCTTACCTCCCCCAAAAATTAACAAACAAACAACAACAAAAACAATAACAACAAAAAACAAACAAAAGCAACAACAAAAAACAAACAAAAACAACTAAAAACAAACAAAAACAACTAAAAACAAACAAAAACAACAACTAAAAACAAACAAAAACAACAAACAAACAAATTAAACAACAAACAAAAACAACAACAGCAGCAGCACCAGGACCCGGAAGCAAGACCCACCTGTGATGATGGCATACTGCGCGTGAAGGAGCTCGCTGACGTCCCGCACGCTGAGGGCGCACCCCCCCTCCTCCAGGACCTCATCTGCGGGGGGAGAAACAAGGCAGGTTACTTGGCTGAAAACCTTGGGGCTCTTATATACACTTTAATTTTATTTTTATTATTTTTTCTCTTTTTCTCTTACTCTCGTTCTCTTTCTCTCTTTTTTTATCTGTGTCTTTGTATTTCTCTCTCTCTCTCTCTCTCTCTCTCTCTCTCTCTCTCTCTCTCTCTCTATCTATCTATCTATCGGACTGGGAATGTTCGTTTAAGATTGGAAATAGAGACATTTTTTTCCTCTCTCTCTCTCTTTCTCTTTCTCCTTCCTGAAATAATAAGAATGTGGCTTGGATGAATAAAATAACCGAGGATATATTAATTAAAGACATAAAATACATCTGAAAAGAAAAAGAAATTCAGAAAAGTTAGTTTTTTCGCGAATTCATATCCATCGATCAAATTTCGTATTCTCGTCCATCGACTAAATTTCGTATTCATATCCATCGATCTATTCTCACACCGATTTACATCAACGGACGAACGAAAACGGATGGAAAAAGACACAAGATTCCGGACGACTTCTGAGAATTTGCCTCAAAAGATGGAAATTTCTGAAAACGAAAACTATTTTCCTTGTTCTTTCTTTCCTCTTCATCTTCTTCTCCTTCTCCTCTTCTCTTCTCCTTCCGTTCCATCTGTCCCCTATTATCCTTTTCTATCCTATCCATCTCATTTTTAATACCCCAATCCCCTCCCCTCCCTCACAATCTCTTCCTCACCTCTGCCCTCCCCTCCCCTCCTCTCTCCTCCCCATCTCTTCCCTTCCCCAGAGAGAGAGAGAGAGAGAGAGAGAGAGAGAGAGAGAGAGAGAGAGAGAGAGAGAGAGAGAGAGAGAGAGAGAACGAAAGAGAGACAGAGAGAAGAGCAAATGGACAAAAAAAAAAAAAAAAATGAGAGTACAAGAGTAAAAGAAGAAAAAAAACTCGACAGGAAGAATAATAACAAGCCTTAATTAACATGAATTTGAGTTTAAGAAAAAAGGAGAGAGTGAGGAAGAGCGAGGGGGAGGGGGAAGGCGTGGAGAAGGGGGTGGGTGAGTGAGAAGGGGGGAGAGGGGGTGAGAGGGAGGGAGGAAGAGTTGGAATGAGGGGGAGGGGGAGGGAGGGAGAGTTGGAATGAGGGGGAGGGGGAGAGAGAGAGAGAGGGAGAGAGGGAGAGGGAGGGGGGAGGGAGGGAGGGGAGGGAAGGAAAGTTGGAATGAGAGGGAGGGAGGGAGAGGGGTAATGAGGGGGAAGGAGGAGGGAGGGGGGAAGGGGGGAGGGGGGAGCGACATTTCTGGGCGTCAGGCAACAAAATGTTGGCTCGGCACTTGTCACGAAACGTCTTAATTAAGAAAAGATTCTTAAAAGGATTCGCAAGTAAATGGAAATCCATCTCGGACTTGCCCTTTGGAGAAGACACTTTCTATTACGTCCTTAATTACACACGCACACACACATACACACACACTCACACACAAACAAACAAACACACACACACACTCACACACACACAAATAAACACACACACACATACACACACACACACACAAACACACACACACACACTCACACTCACTCTAACTCACTCGCTCACCTACTCACTCACTCACACACTCACCCACCCATTCACTCACTCACTCACCCACACACTCACAGCCCCCCCCCCCCCCCCACACACACACACTATCTCACAACAATGACATCAATCCCGAAAAAGTCTGACCGGAAATGTGCTAGTTGGCGCCTTCCTCGAATCCCCAAAGTTTGCACACACTTTCCCAGGTACATTAAGCGTCTCAGTGTCTCCCCGTGTTTAATGACCGTCGCTCCTGTATATTAAACTGATTGGCTTTCATTTCCTGTCTTTTTCTTGAGCTCCCCCTCCCCCCGACGAGTTTGTGTGACGAATTTCCTGATAAAAAAATTGAGCATTTTTTAAATTCTATTTTGAGTGTTATCGAAGAACGAATCATTTGCAGGACATTATTATCATTATTTTTTTTATGTGAGTATAGAATCTGTATTTTAATCTTGAGGACTTAATTTTTTAAAAATCGGTCTTCCTTTGAATGGGACTTTTTTTTAAGCCTTTTTTAAGCAGCCTCCAATTCCCGGGTCAAAATTTCACCTCTCACCTGGCAACTGCAATTAGCAGGCTGTCTGGATGGCACTTAATTAATTAAACGAAAGAAAGAAATAAAGAAAGTGAGAAAGAGAGAGAGAGAGAGAGAGAGAGAGAGAGAGAGAGAGAGAGAGAGAGAGAGAGAGAGAGAGAGAGAGAGAGAGAGAGAGAGGAGAGAAGAGAAGTGAGGAGAGGAGAGGAGAGGAGAGGAGAGGAGAGAGGAGAAGAGAGAAGGGAGGAGAGGAGAGAAGAGAAGAGAGAAGGGAGGAGAGGAGAGAAGAGAAGAGAGGAAAAACGAAGAGAGAAGAGAAGAGTTTTACAGCTGTGATGAAAACCCCCAGGAAAAAAACTGAAATTATGGACATTATATTTTAAAAGACGACCAAAATATGATAATCAAAACTGCAACATTTCCCCTCAAAACGGATACAACAGAATCAATAAAACCAAAACAAAGTCCCAAATAACGGATCAATTTTTAAAAAAATCCCCGCATACACAACGATGAATGCAACAACACCTAACACACAACCAAACGCTCATTTGAAAGAAACGGGACGTCGGCATTGAAATAAATCTTGAATTTCATCATGCAACTGCACGCTAGACCGAGCACGCTCACATGACCTATCCTGCCGAGCTGGTTCCGTCGGGAAAGTCAGCTGCCTCCGTTTCCTGGAACATGAGCCTTCTCGCCCTGGTTAACTGCAGGTGACTGGGGCCTCCGTCGCTACCTCAGAATGAAACCTTTTCCTTTACGAAAAAAAATAAAAAATAAAGATGCGTGAATCGATTGGTAAAAAAAAGAAAAGAAAAGAAAAGGCCTATATACTTTTCTTTATTGCGAGTAGTTTGTATAGGGGCAAAAATTGAACGTGAATAGCTTATCAACAAATACTTGTCCTAAACCATTTGATGGCGCATATAGAATGTACGGTACAATACGAAATACAATAGTTTACCCGTAAAAAGATACCACCCTCTACATTTTCTTTGAAGGCATATTCGAGGGGCGACTGCAGTAAATGGTAAAGAAAAACGTAACCAATATCACGATCATGTATCTTCGTCATGCAACAATAAAAAAATAAAAAAAATGAAAAGAGAAACCCACTCGAGGCCTCATATTTCACTTTTATTGCAGGATCTTTCTTGTCGAATCCTGAATCCAATACGAAAAAAAAAATGTAGATGAACCTGGAAACATATTGAAGATAAAAAAGATCATTTGAACACGTGCAAGGAAGTATCATACACCTCCGGAGAAAAAAAAAAATAAAATAAACAATAATCAGAAAATATAAGCCAAATACCACATACCTCCACATAAAAATTAAACGATACAGCAATATCAATTAATGACCGCAATATCCCTTTTACAAAGACCTACGGGAAGACTTCCAGAAAAAAAAAGTTTTACGAAAGCCTCTCCCTCAGAACACGCGCTCAACGGACCGACGGCGGGCAGGATTTCACAGCGAAGGACAGCTAACCACAGGCGGTCGAGGAGAGCTGCGTGCGACTCTCTGGCAGGGAGAGACGTGGTCACTTGTCTTACGGAGAGGAGGAGAGGAAGAGAAGGAGAGAAGGAGAGAGGGAGAGAGGGAGAGAGGGAGGGAGGGAGAGAGGGAGAGAAGAAGAGAGGGAGAAAAAAAGAGAGAAAGAGAAAGAGAAAGTGTGTGTGTGTGTGTGTGTGTGTGTGTGTGTGTGTGTGTGTGTGTGTGTGTGTGTGTGTGTGTGTGTGTGTGCGTGTGTGCGTGTGTGCGTGTGTGCGTGTGTACGTGTGTGCGTGTGTGCGTGTGTGCGTGCGTGCGTGCGTGCGTGTGTGCGTGCGTGCGTGCGTGCGTGTTCATGCACGCGCGCGTCTACCTATCAATCCCAACAGTCCACCAATTAAAAATCAAATTCCTTCAAAACAAAATGAAACGATACCCACACACACTTAAAAAATAAATAAATAACAGCAATCACAACACCTCTGGGAAATCTAGCAATGGGAGAAAAAGAGCTTCTGACCAAACGGAATAAAGTCGATTTTTCCTTTAATAAAACATCTTATTTGGCTCTTAGCGCGCTCCCAATCAGAGCTGGCGATTATGTCGGTCTTTCATATTGGATCTGGGGCGCGAGATGAGGAAAAATGGTGATTGGGGAGCGGAGATGAGGGATGCTGAGGCCGAGATGTCGTGGGAATAGAAATCAAAATCTCCCACAGAAACGGGTTAAAATGCAGAGCTCTCACAGACGTAGAAAAAAGCCACACATCCACATTTAAGCTTTATTTTTATTTATTTTTTTTATTCACTTTTCACTAACTTTTTTATATCCTTTCTATTCATCTTCGTTATCTGTTTCTCTTTCCCTTTTCCTCAGCCTTTGCCTCCTCTTTCCTCTTTCCTCTTCCTCTTCATCCTCCTCTCCACCTACCTCCATCCTTTTCAATTTCCATGATTCGCCTGTAAAACGAAAAAAAAAAATCTCCCCAAATAAGTGCCGCCCCCATGTCAGGCTCAGATTAAAGTGCGAGGCGGGGGAAATGTACGGCAAATTGGCCCATTAGTAAGGTTCATATTTATCCCCGCGTTCGCTCAGTTTTCCTTCCCCTACCTCCATCCTTCGTCCTTCTACCCACTCTTCTTCCCTCCTCTTCCCCCCCTTCTCCTTCCCTCCTCTTCCCCCCCTTCTCCTTCCCTCCCTTACCTTCTCCCTTCCTCCCTTACCCTCTCCTTCCCTCCCTTACCCTCTCCTTCCCTCCCTCCTCCTCTCCCTTCCTCCTTCCCTCCTTTACCCTCTCCTTCTTTCCTCCCCCTCTGCTTCCACCAATCCCTCTGCCTCTTGGTCCCTCCACCCTCTCTCCTTCCACCCCCTTTCGTCCCTTCCAC